AAGTATGCTCCAAATACGGTTGCCCTCAAGCCCTGGTCCAGCTGGGCATGCCCTGGGGAAACTGGAGCCCTCAGGTCAGTTACTTCTGGAAGCCTCATTAGTGCGCCCTATGTGCCATACATCAAATGCCATTGTCTGTTGCATCATGAAGTAAAAAAAAAAAAAAAAAAAAGCAAGAAGTATTGGTATAGATAGCTAACTATACATGTGTTTCATTAACTATTAGTGTTAAAATGTTTAAAATTAAGACTAATTACCTAGCAAACACAAAAGTAAGAATGCTACAAAGAGAATTCTAAATGAATCCAGGCTTGCACTGAGTCAAAGCTTTCTAAGAATGCTATACTTCCATACAATTCAAATTCACTTTTTCATCTACATTTTCATTCACAAGGGAATAATTCCTTTGAATTAAACATTAATAGTTGAAACAATGAATTATTGGTTTCACAGGGACAAAACAATAAAAAGGGGCAAAAACTTTGAAATAAACTTTTGTTCTATAATAATGAGAAAAATATTCCTGTCATAATTTAGTTGAAAAGTTTGACCCTGTGGTTCTTTCTCAATGTTAAATAAAATCCTAGAATATCAAAAACAGATGCAAAAACCAATAATACAAAAGAGAAAAAAAAGACTCACGCCTTTTGCTAGTTCTTGACAGTTTATATATACAGACTAAATCAGACAAGCTATTTACCTAACTGAAGTACTTATATTCACAGCAGTAAGTCAGCATGTATAGAAATCATAAAGCCCAGGATTTGTTTTCTTTTTTCTTTTTACCTCCTGAAGGTTGTCGAGATTTACGAGGAGATCGGGGTTCTCTCCGATAAGGATCATTAGAGCCATATAATTCAATAGTGCCCAGGTTGAGCAGCACGGCTTTCTGGAGGTAGTCAACCATAGCAATGCCATTACAATTGCCAAAAACCACCCTGGGAACAGGAAAAGAGCAAACATTTTAGCACAAACAAATAATTACAAAAAAATGTACTGTAGTCCATAAAGTTGAAGAAAGAGGCATGATGGGCCTTTTGGAAAATTCTTCTTTGAAACAAAAGAAAACCATGAGCATAGGAATACAGGTTACATATGCCTTCTCACAGAACTGTTTAGATCATCTGCAG